TTTTTCAACGTTTTTTCATCTACTCTGAGATATAGGCTTATTTTATTATTTCAGAATTTTGGTATACATTTTATGAAAATCGGACAACTGCCATATATCTGCCATAGAAACGATCAATAGACGTAGAGAAAATGTAAAGCTGGGAATGAAAAACTGTAACTGTAAAACTGTAAACATAATAGGAATAGGTAAAATGTAATGAACTAATATCTGCAAGAGTTTACAAACTTCGTGGTGCCGAAGTTAGCTTCCTTTCTTGTTTTAGGTTCAGTTTCATTTTTTCCGCCGAACTAAGGCTTTAACAGTATCTTATATGAAAGATAACAAATACATGTTTTCTTTCCTTGTCCCGATAAAAAGTGTAACCGCCTTAAATATCAAAAAATATCTCAAAAAAATATCGATAAAATATGATAATTTTTCAAAAAAAATATCACGATAAAAATATTTATTTTTTTCGCAAAAAATATCGATATATTGATATTTTGATATATTTTCGACATCCCTAGCGACAAGTGATTAGCTTATAGTTATTGCACTAGTCAAGAAAAAGTATTATTTAGTCTAACAATTTGTATTCTTATTATCTAAAATTATTCGTTATTTATTTATTATTAATTTACTAATTTTACTAGCTATATTTTTTTTTTTATTTAATTTTATTTATTATTTATTTATTTAACTATGTTATTTTTATTTTCTATTTTTTTATTTTTATTTTTATTTTATTTATTTTTAATTATTTTTTTTATTTTATAATTATTTATTTATTTTTTTATTTTTTATTTTTATTATTATTTTCTTTTTTTATCTATATTAAAACTATAAATATTATAAATATAGTCTTTTGCTTATTGTTTTAAATATTCTTTAATTAGGTTGTTAAACTGAGTTGCGCTCCTTATGGTTTTAAAAGAGTGTGGTAGGTTGTTCCATTGACGGATAGCGTTTATAAAAAATTGACGGTTTGAGCATAAAGTTTTGTATCTGGGGCATATCAAGTTATTCGTTCTAAGTGAATTTGCAAACACAAGTTTATCATACAAATACTTTGGTTCTTTCGAAGTTATAATTCTATGAAAGTAAGTAAGAGTTCTATAGCTAATCCATGCAGTCAAGTCAAGGTCAAGAAGTTTAGTTGTCAAGTTGGATACATGGTCAAGACGTCTAAGATTAAACACATATCTAGTTATTGAATTAAGGGCTACTGATAAATTATGGAAGTCTCGTGAGTCACAGTGTCCAAACACCTCTATTCCATAGAATAGTGTTGGAATAAGGATTGTTTTTGCAACTAAGGTTTTTATCTGTTGCGGAAGGAGTGTCTTAGTACATGCAAGTTGTCTCAACAATCCATATGTTCGACCAGAGGCTTTAGTGATATGTTTGCTCCAAGAGAGTGTATTATTAAAAGTCATCCCTAAGTTATTAGCATTTGTGGTGTAATTTATAGGGCTGTTATTTATAACCAGATTTTGGAGGTTTCCAGTATCAAGTGGTCTCTTGGAAATTACTAAACATTTGGATTTCTTCGGATTAATGCTTAATCCATTGCATGTTGCCCAGTCATTTAATTTCTTGAGCATATTAATGCTCTTACTAATACAAATATTTTACTGATTAACAGGACTACTAACATAAATTTGAACATCATCCGCATACATATGGACTTCACAGTCAGACAGAACACTTGGTAAATCATTAACATACAAAGAGAATAACAAAGGACCAAGTACTGATCCCTGAGGTACTCCCCCGTGTTAGCAATCTACAGCTAGACATGCGAGTGCCAGAGACAACTGCCTGTGACCTTCCACTTAGGTATGACTCAATAAATCGAGCTGCAGTATCAGAGAAATTAAAGAGATTTTTTAACTTAGAGCAGAGAATAGAGTGGTTCACCGAGTCAAATGCTTTGCTATGGTCCAATAGAGTTAAAAACGTCACACAATTATTGTCCAGTTGCTTCCGAATATCTTCAACAATGTCCGTTATTGCACTAATACAGCTTCTTTTCTTCCTGAACCCAGATTGTTTTTGCGCCAGCAGGGAGTTATCTTCGAGATACCTCAACATCTGCTGCGCCATTAAATTTTCAAGCACCTTAGCAAGAAAGGGAAGGATTGAAATGGGTCTGTATTCCATATTTGTTTTTTGAACTGGAATAATCTTTGCCTTTTTCCAAGTTGTGGGCATAGTCGACGTAGTAATTGCAGTATTGAAGATGTATGTTATATGTGAAAGAAGTATTTTTAAGAATTTGGGACTGACATTATCTAAACCTTCAGCATTCGGTTTAACTTTGAAGATTCCATTTAAAACATCACATTGATCAACGCACATAAAGCTAAATCTATTATCACAGCTAGATATATTGTTCAGGTACTGGTTATCAGTTGCTTCAGGTACATCGATTTGCGTAAACGATTGACAGAGATTCTCTACATTAATATAGTTATTGTTTGTTTGCCTGCACTTTCCGATTCCCAATTTTTTGAGTTCATTCCAGGTCTTTTTTGACGTGGTGGCATTCTCAAATTTCAGTTTGAATATTTCACCCTTGGCAACCTTTATAAGTTTTGTAACTCTGCACCTTAATTTTTTATACAAAGTGCAAAAATGGTCAGTCTTATACCGCTTCCATTTCCTGTACGCGATATCTCGTTGATGTATAAGTTCATTTATTTCATTATTAAACCAGGGGTTTTGCCTTGGTTTAATAACTTTTATTTTGACAGGTACACATTTGTTATACATATTTAATATGTTAATATTTAAGACATTTAATTGAGACTCAACACTTGTACATTGATAAATAGGAGACCAGTTACACATACTATATTCGCTCTGGATAACCAAAGCATTAATGTCTTTATAATCCCTAAATCTGAACGAGTTAACATTATGGGTCAAAGATACGTCATGGAAAACAGGGACGAGCTTACGGCAGAGCTCGCCTTACAGGCTAACCTCCCACCTGGGTCCGTTACCATTAAGAACATCCGCTCCCTCGCAAGTGGAGGTCAGGTGGAAACGTTCTCCGTACCAGAGACTGTGGGTGGCTCCATAGATAGTCTGGGGAGGGTGAAAGTCGGCTGGACGAGATGTCGCATCAAGGTGATAGAATCTCGTCCCAGGTGCCCCTTAGTGACGTCGCGTAGAGAAGCCAAAACAAAAAGGGGATGATAGTGGTTCAGCTGAACACGACTTGCTGTCGCAATCGGTCCGAGAACGCAGTGTCGATGTTGCCGCTATCAGTGAGCCGTACAGGGTAGGCCCTGGCCCACACTGGGCGGTGGACAGCTCTTGCAAAGCTGCCTTGTGGTCTTGCGGTAACACACCTAAGCGAATGACTGACGTTCGCTCAGAGAGAGGCTTCGTGCGTGCCAAGATGGCAGGCTGGTGGATACCTGGCACCGAGCATGTCGCTCGCGCAATTTGGGGACGCCGTGGATCGACTAGCCGCAGACGCGAGGGGCCACACTCCGTCCCTTATAGCCGGTGACTTTAACGCCTGGGCGGTGGACTGGGGCAGCTCCCTCACCAATGCCAGAGGCAGGACCCTCCTCGAGGCCTTCTCCACATTCGACGTCACACTCCTCAACACTGGGGCGCAGCCCACCTTCAGCAGAGCCGGGGCGAGTTCGGTGGTCGACCTCACGTTTGTGAGCTGCTCCAGGGCTCCAGGGCCAGTGCACCTGGGTCCTGAGCGATGCCTATACGGCGAGCGATCACGCGGCGATCCTCACCGCGCTGGATACCGGGCGAGCGCAACCCACATCGCTGCCTCCCCAAGCACGAAGGGGACATCCAATCCTTCGCGGAGCATATGCAGAGTTTGGAAGCAAATGGTTTTGCAGAGCAGATGGCTGATTCTGCCATGATCCAACTGCAGGTCGCATGCGATGACTGCATGACTGCCAAGCGCGCCCACTCTCGACACAGGGACTCGGTGTACTGGTGAAACAAGACGATTGCCGCGGCCAGAACGGAGTGCCTCAAGGATAGGCGCCGCTACCAGCGCTCCTACCGTTCGAGCTCCCACCTGGAGAGGCGGGTCCGAGTACCACCGGTGCCGCAAGGCTCTCAAGGCGGCAATCCAGGAAAGCAAAACCAAATGCTTTCTGGACCTTTGCGACACCGCGGACCACGATCCCTGGGGAAACGCCTACAGGATCATCATCAAGAAGATCCACGGGGCAAAACGGGGGGTCCCTGATGACGCAGAGAGCATTGACAGGATAGTCGCGCACCTGTTCCCGAAGGCGGATAACCCCAGAGCCACGCTGGAGATTGCTACGCACTCGCTGGAAGGGTTCGAGCCAGTCCTGGACACGGAAATCCTGGCGGCGGCGATAAGAATCAGGGAGGCGAAAGCCCCTGGCCCTGACCTGGTTCCCAACAAAGCCCTGAGACTTGCTCTCTCGCTTCGCCCGGACTTATTTGCGGAGCTCTATGGAAGATGCCTTAGAGAAGGTATATTTCCTGGGAGATGGAAGGTCCAGAGGCTGGTCCTGCTCCCGAAACCAGGAAAGCCACCTGAAAACCCATCCGCCTACAGACCAATCTGCCTGATTGATGGGGCGGGCAAGGTTCTGGAGCAATTGATGCGGACGAGGCTTGAGAAGGCCATTGCCGCAGCCGGCGATCTATCCGACTCCCAGTTCGGTTTCAGGAAGGCTATGTCGACGGTTGATGCCATATCCAAAGTGGTGGGCATCGCAAAAGCTGCCATTGCGGGACAACGGTGGAAAGGAGGCGCGAAGGAGTACTGCTTGATTGTCACGCTAGACATCCGCAACGCCTTCAATACGGCAAGATGGGGATGTATCCTGGATGTACTATCCAGCTTCGGTGTACCCCCGTACCTGTTGAAGCTGCTGAAGGGCTATTTCAGAGGCAGAACCCTGGTGTACGACTGAGACGGCGGTGTCAGATCGGCCGAGCTCTCCTGCGGAGTTCCGCAAGGGTCGGTTTTGGCACCATTGCTGTGGAATGCCATGTACGATGGTGTTCTGCCAAAATGGGGGCATGCACTAGCAACCCCGGCCTATAGGCGCGGACTGTGCTCGGCCCATCGCCACGCGGCACTACGCATCTGTAGCGCCCTTAGGATGGTGTCCGACCAGGCCGCGTGTGTCCTAGCCGGGACTCCACCGCTGGACCTGTTAGCAGCAGAGAGGGCCAGTATCCACGGCCAGACTATTGGTAGAACGCTGAATCCTCGAGAGAAGCACGTGTTACGCTTTGCGGCGAAAGAAGCCACCTTGGCAGCGTGGCAAACGCGGTGGGAATCATCGTCGAAGGGGGAGATGGACGTATCGCATGATTCCACAGCTGGACTGCTGGCTGAGGAGGAAGCACGGTCAGGTAAACTTCCACCTGACCCAGATTCTCAGCGGCCACGGCTGTTTCCGGAGCTATTTTCGAAGATTCGGCCACGAGGAAGACGACACTTGCACGCACTGCCAAGGTCAGCTGGAGGAGACGGCAGAACACATGGTTCTTAACTGTGCGAGACTTGCCGGCGAGCGAGAAACACTGGAGGCCAGGCTGAACAACACCATCTCAGTGGAAAACTTAGTTCCGCTGATGTTGATGTCCGAAGCGAACTGGCAGGCCGTGTCGGACTTCGCAGCGAGGGCAATGACGGTGCTCCGAGCAGAGGAGCGACGCAGGAACCTGGAGGCATCATGGGTCGGGATCAGCGCCCGCGCGAAGCATTGCTTCGCTGCCGTACCGCGCGAGCAAACCATCCCGATATCTGTGCGACCCAACCCTTCTATCCCCCCACTTTTGTATCTATTTCACTTCAATAAACGAATAAAAAAATAAATAAATAAATACCTACACTAGCGGGGAGAGTGTGTGTAAGTCGCGGTGAACGGACGCCCCAGCGGGGACTCCGCAATAGACTCGCGCTGTGGCAGTGCCCCTAGGGGAATAAAAGTGGTAGCAGTACGTAGGACGCAGTGTGAGTGTAGCCTCCAGACTTACCTGTCGAGGAACGGCTCCTGCGGCCCGCGGAGGGCACTTCTGTGCCCCAATGTTTCGGCGAGATGGACGATAGATAGGGGTAAGAGGGGATCTTTCTTCCCTGGAACTTTTTCTTCCTTTTCTTCCGCCGCTGCACTCTCTCTTCGGGTCAAATGTGGATGCCCCCACATATTTGTGCCGGTCACGGCGGTATAACCTCCAAAAAAATGAAGTCGGAGGGAAATATCCGACCAGCGAGGGAGGCTCCGTGTCGTCCCGATATGGTGGAAGCTTTCGCCACTCTCAACGGCTTAATCCACGCAGCGTCTGCTCATACTGAGCGGCTGCGTGATCTGCGTCTGCGCCATAGTGGCCGGCAGTGGAACTAGCCTGGCAGCAGGTATCAGCGGCACACAAATCTAAACCCAGGTAGCGTCAGACCCACATTGGGCGGCTACTTGGTCTGCGTCTGAGCCATAATGGCCGTCAGTTTTAACCTACCTGGCAGAAGGTATAAAATGCAGCCTCGAATTGGGCTAAAATGCACAAATAAAAATGTCGAGTATAAACAGTATTACTCCAGGTGGCAGCCACAAATGTGGAAATCCCCCCGCGGTTGATCCCGCGGCAAGGGCACGGATTCTGGAGGCCCTAACCCACATTTCTCCCACTACGGCGACGCCGGCGGCCCACTTGGCCGACGTCAACCCGAAAGCTACAAGTGTAGACGATAAACTAAGAGCGTTCTAGAAGGGCTCCCGCATACAGCGCAGCCCGCCAGGAAATGCTGCGAGTACCACCGCTGCCGCAGCACTAGGCGGGACCGCTGAAGGGGATATCTCATGCACCCTATTAGCGAAACGCAACAGGGACTCCCCGAGTCCGACAGGGCCCGAGCATCCTACCAAGAGGCCTAGAGCCCCCTAACCACAACTAGTGGAGATGGGGACGATCCTCGAAGACCTGCTTATGAAGGTCAACGAGCAGAAGGTGCGGAGCATTAACCAAGGCATGAAGAATACCTTCGATAGGCTCAAAGAGCTCCAAGAACCCTTGATGCGCCACCGGGAAGTAAGGCCCCCACTCAGCCGAATTGAGGATACAACGGATCGCGGGTGTCAGACAGCCCAAGTCTGTACTCCACGCTTCGATAAAGCTGCACAGACCTCTCCGAGCAGACGCGTTCGACCGGTCAAGCAAGGCCCGGGAAGCGATCCAAAACGCCCCATGGCGCGTAGCGCACAACCATCGAACCCTAGGAGGACGGCCGAGGGCAATAATGGAGGGGACGGGAAGTCGCCCACCGAACAACCACGTCGTGTTCGTACAGGAGCGGGCCGGCGTGAGAGGCCTAGAAGACGTGGCAAGGATGCGCTGATCATTAGCCCTCCTCCATAGATGGTCCTACAGCGAAGGCTCGGCCTGGTTACGCGAGCTAAGGACTCCAGGATGGAAAAAGTCCGTGACAGCGTCTGCAGGGTCAGAAAGACAGCTAAAGGAGAGCTGTTGCTGGAGATCAAGCGCAACTCGCAGGCTTAAACCAGTGCCATCAGGGATCTGATTGGCAAAGCCCATGGTCGAGCGGTCGAGCTGTCGTGCGGGGTTCCGCAAGGGACCGTGCTTGCGCCACTTTTGTGGGAGAACGGAGATTGTGGACTTCGCAGACGACATAGCGGTGGTCACTGTCGCAAAGGAGATCGTAAGAGCAGAGGAGACTAGCAGCCAGAGTATCGCCATCATTAACGAGTGGCTGTCGAACGCCGAATTGCAGCTAGCGCCGCAGAAAACCGAAGCCGTCCTGGTGAGCAGCAGGAAGAAGGTGGAGGTGGCAAGCGTTCGGATCTGCGATGCCACGGTCAGATCTTCTAGAGCTATCAAATTCCTAGGAGTGATGATCGACACCAGACTCTCCTTCAGGGAGCATAGGACATACGCAAGCTCCAAGGCTGCCACGACAGTGGGAGTGTTGTCCAGGATCATGCTGAACCACCATGGCCCAAGGCAAGCGAGCAAGCTCCTTCTAGCGAGCGCAGCTTGAGTTACCATGCTGTACGCAGCCCCTGTGTGGAGTCACGCCATGGCGTCGCCTTCATACAGTCGCGGTCTGATTGCCTCACACCGCTCTACGCATCTGCAGTGCGTTTCGGACCGTCTCGGATCAGGCGGCACTGGTTATAGCTGGCACCCCGCCGATAGATTTGCTGGCCAAGGAGCACCCGTGCTTGTTCTTCTCCTCCGTGTGGATCTCCAGCACATCCCGGTCCGGTGACCTGGCTTGTTGTCCGGCCGCTGCCGGAGCGTTGTGCACGCCGATCTCCTGCGTCGGCTGATTCGGCCATGCTGGCGTCAGTTCGCTGTTGTGTGGGCCTTCCTGTCGCCCTCCTGCTGCCACGTGTGCGCCCACGACCCGGATCTGATTGGCGGGTACCGTCGCCCATCCGGCCGGTCGTTGTTGCTGCCCACCGCTGCATCCAGGTGCCTCCGCGTTGTTTCTGCTCTTGCCTGGGCGGACGGGTGTCATCGGCGGCCCAGCAAGCGGTTCGCCCCCACTCCCTGGTGCCTGCGTGCATCTGCTGCCCATCCTGGCCGGTGTCGTCCGCTTCCTGATCGTTCCCGGTGCCGCGTGCGGTTCGATCAGTTGTGAATTTCTTCGCGCTCTCTTGGTACCGGTGCATCTTGTCTGCTGGAAAGATATATAATGACTCCACGTTAGTTTTCGGCCAGCTGATTAGTTTTTTATTTAGTGTTAGACTACGTCCTACAGTGTTATAGTGCTGTGTAACGTTTCGTTCGGGTTGTCGGGTTAGGTTCTGATCTCCGCTTGTTTTCGATTTATGTCCCTGCTCTTGTGTTATATTGATCTCTTGACTTGTTTCTGCGTCATTTTTTTATCTCTGCGTTGTCTCTGCACCTAAATGAGGCTTAGTGTCACCGATATATGCCCGTTTCGTTTTCCGAGTCTTTGGATCCCTTATTGTCATAATTACTGGGGATATAAACCCTATTACTTTCCATGGCCCGTCGTATCGTGGTGCCAATTTTGCGTTGAATTTATTCACCGCATTCGAGAGGTGATGTGTCTTACACCAAACCCATTCCCCGATCCTTGGTTTCCATTCCCGCTTCCGCAAATCATAATGCCGTCTTTGTTGTTCCGCTGATTTCTCCATGTTTTCTGCCGCTTCCTTCCGCGCGTTTTCCATGCGCTTCCATCTCCCCGCTATGCTATCATCTTTTACTCCAGACCCTTCGGTTACCTTATCAAAGGTCATATCTGGCAGCCTTAACTCCTTGCCGAAAATCAACTGCGCTGGGCTGTACTTGGTTGATTCTGACGTGCTGCTGTTAAATTCTAGCATCAGCTCCGGGATGTGTTCGTCCCACTTTGTTTTTATCGTCCTGTTCGTTCGCTCTGTCGGATTTTCCTGTGGTGTGTAGGGTGCGGTAAATTGTTGCCGTATTCCCCACCTTTCCATCGCGCTCCTGGTCTTGCGTCCCGTGAACTGTACCCCGTTATCGGATATCAGGATCTTTGGCGCGCCGATTCGTGCTATCACTCGCTCTCGGAAGATTTTTAAAAACGCATCTGCTGTTGCCTGCCGGATTGCCGCTAGCTCTACCCAATTGGAAAATTTGTCCACTATTACTACTAGCATCGTGTTTCCATGGGTTGTTCGCGGCCCGACGAAGTCCACACATATTGTTTCCCATGGCGCTTCTGCTATCCTTGTTAGCATTTTCCCCGCTGTTTTCCTTATACCTTATATCGTTGGCAGCTCTCGCAGTTATTAACGAATTCCTCCACATCTCTTACAAGCCCTGGCCAGAAGTACCTATTCCTTATCCGTTTCTTTGTTTTGTACATTCCCAGATGACCTGCCTCCTGGGCGCAGTGGTTTTCTACCAATATCTGGTGTACTTTGTCCTCTGGTATGCACAATTTCCATGGTTGTTGATCCCTCCGGTTCTGGTTCATCTTGTACAGTTGGTCGCCTTCTATGTGAAACCCTGCGTCTTGTTGCCCTCTTTCCATTTCTTCTCGCTTCTGCTCCACCCAGCTTGCTGCCTTGCTCACTGTTTTCAACTCGATAGGCGGTGCCCTTGACAATGTTTCCGCTACTACATTCAGCTTTCCCTTCCTGTACTGTATCTCGAATTGGTATGGTTGCAATCCTAATGCCCATCTTGCTATCCTTCCCGAGGGACTCTTAATCGAGTTCAGCCACTTGAGCGCCATATGGTCCATATGGCCATATGGGTAGCCCGTGAATGGGTAGCCCCACCGTGAATGGGTAGCCCTCCAGGTACATCTTATACTTCTCGATGCCCCAGTGGATAGCCAAACATTCCTTCTCCGTTGCGCTGTACTTCTGTTCCACTTTGCTCAGCTTCCTGCTTGCGAAGGAGATTACGTGTTCTCAGTCCTCGGTGTCCTTGGTGAGTACCGCCCCCACCCCGAAGTCGCTGGCGTCGGTTTGAAGTTTAAACCGCTTCGTGAAATCCGGACATGCCAGTACTGGGGCTCACATCAGGCTTTCTTTTAGCTGCTCGAACGAGTTCTGGTGACGTTGGTTCCATTCGAATTTTTGGCCCTTCCTCGTGAGCTCCTGTAGTGCCCCTGCCTGCTCCGTGAAGTTTGGGATAAATCTCCGGTACCACGAAGCCATTCCCAAAAAGCTGTGCACTTCTCTCGTGTTCTTGGCCACCTTCTCCGGGTCTGTCTGGATCCCTTGCTCGCTCACCACATGTCCCAAGTACTTTAGCTCCTTGTGGATAAAATGGCACTTGTCCGGGTTTATTCTCAGGTTTGCCTGCTGCAGCCTTTGGAATACTTCCTGGAGTTTCTCCAGATGCTCCCTCTTATTCCGGCCTATCATGATAATGTCATCCAAATAAGCGAATGCGAACGGCTCCATTTCTGGCCCAATTATCGTCGCCGGGTCGTCCTGGTACCGTGGATGCCGTGTACTGCCTACTTCCCTGCTCCATTGGGATTTGCCAATAGCCTGACTTCAGGTCTATGGTGCTTATAAATTTTGCCTCCCTTAATTGGTCCAGGGTGAAGTTCATTCAGGGCACCGGATATGCATCTTTCTCCGTTTTTTCATTTAACTGCCTGTAGTCGATGCACATTCTACATTCGTTGTTTTTCTTTCGTACCAGTACGACTGGTGCCAGCAGTTCGTCTACCTGTTCGTCGATGATTGCCTGTTGCTTGGGATTTCGCGGGTATGGGATGGGGATGGATCCTCCGCCTTCTCTGCTATCGTGCATTTTCCTTCCCTTGCCGTTGTTTCGTCCACGGCTGATACCTGATCCAGCTCTAGGTCGCCACACCTCAACATGCCGTTTGCTCCCGCCAGAAAGTCCATCCCCAACAGTATCCCCCCAGACACGTTCCTTAGTATCATGAACGTTATTGT